TAGGGATAATATCGCAATAGGCATGTAACTTCGGAGCTCTAATTAAAGTTCATCAGGGCCTTAATTGAAAAATTCTATGATCAATTAAAGGTTCAATTAAAAGCAATTGAAAGAGGAAGGAATGAAATGAAATGAATTTTGGCCAAAAACAGGATTTTGGCACTGTTCATCTTCTTCTTTAAATCTCTGAAATAGTTGGTCCAAAAAAAAAGAGAAATAGCTGCATTTAATGTACCTAATGTCCATCAAATTTGCCAAAACTTGCACAAAACTGATCACCAGACATCACTTTACATCCGGGTATGGTCAGCACTAGCTCACTGGCAAATAAATGGACGTGGCACCACCCCAAATAGACCAACTCAAGTAGCCTGCAGTTGCATATTTGACAATTTGACATTGCGTCATGTCTACTTTGAGCCAATGGTTGGAATCCTTTTCATCTGAATCAAGAGCTGAAATTTTTCTCCAGCGTATACAAGATTTCCTTTTCCACCTTCTGTAAATAGAGGTGGATTTGATAGCCTGATAAAGGAGAAATTCGGGTCCAAAGTCAGTCAAAAAACCAGTTTTTCTACCAATTTCTACAAATTTTCTTCTTTCTTTCTTTCTCAATCGTGGCCTTTGGCCACCACCACAACAACCACCAGTCTTTTCGCCATCAGCTCCACCATAGGAAGCCAACTCAACCACCAGGCGACCACCAAGAGCCACTATTAGTTTCTCTCTCCTCTCTACAGCACCTCTCGCATGCTTTTTTTCTTCTTCTTTCTTCCTCTTCCATCTACAGATGCTCCAGCCAAATCCACCATTGTTTCGACTGCCGGTTTCAGGTTGCCCTTCCCTGCCAGCCAACCATCTACACCATGCCAGGAAGTTCCACTGTTCATGCAGTGGACTATACTCTTTTTTAAAAAAAAATCTAAAAATTAAAAAAAAAATCATTTCAAAAAATTGTGTTTTCTTGCATATTTTTATACCAATTTTGCATAATATTGGTTATGTATTTACACTGTAAAATACAAATCCAGAATTAAAATACTCGATTTTCTCTAAAATTATTAAAAATTCAAAAAAAAATTAAATCGATTTTCATTTTCAAAAAAAAAAATTAATTTCTACAAATTTTCTTCTTTCTTTCTTTCTCAATCGTGGTCTTCAGCCACCATCACCATCACCACCGGTCTTTCCACCATAGGAAGCCAACTCAACCACTAGCTAACCACCAAGAGTCATCGTCGATTTCTCTCTCCTCTCTACAACCTCTCGTGCATGTTTTTTTTCTTCCTTCTTTCTTCCTCTTCCCGCT